AATCCCCCCCCCCCCCCCCCCCCCCCCCCATTCTCCAACCCTCTTAGCAGGTAAAGACAGGGAGTATTACTTGTAGCTAGCAAGTTGTTTTTTTTCCTATTGGACATTACAGACCACAGAATATGTTCCGGTACCCAAAGATGCAAGTTCTACACCCAGTGAAATTTTTAAAGTTGCCATAACAAGAAGCTAGTCAACTGTTGGCTCTTCTATAGATCCCACTAGGTTTCTGGTAAACAAGCATTTCAGAAAAAGCAGATTCTGTCCTTCACATTTTTAGTCTCATCATCTGCCCAAATCTGTAGTTGTGGTAGGAAGAGGAAAACCAGCCCTCCTGCTTTATCATAACCCAGTGAGTCTCTCAGCTTGCGGTGAAATAGTCCAGATGAATGCAACAGTATCTCCACACCTGATAGCTAAACTGGGACAAAAAAAAATGAAGCAAAAGCTTTATGGCTTCTATTCATTAAGATTTAAACAGAAGAAGAGTGAGTGGCTCGTACAAAGTTTTTACACAATTATAAAGTTTGAATTAACCTTAAATGGAAAGAGGTTTTTCTCTCTGCATTGTTCCTACTGGAATCAAGTTTTCAAATTTGAGCATGTGGTCTCTGATGCAACATACTTATTGGTTTGAAGGATTTTAATAGGCCTTCTTAAGTTTAAGTCTTGCTGCAATTTGTAATGAAATTTTAAAATCGTATGTTAAAATATGATGCAGGCATCACCTGTGTTTGTCAGAAGAAATTCTTGTTGTGTCCCTTCTGCTTCCATTGTTAATGTTGTAGAGAGGAATCTGTACAAATGGATAAAAATTGCTTATTACCTCTCTAAACTCAAAGTAACTCTTGTTCATCCAGGAAAAGATCTGTCTTCTGCTAGTGACCTTCTTTTGGTTCATCATCCTAGTCCTTCTCAAGGAAGGAAAAAAGTTTGCAATAATTTTTTGCAGTGCTGTATTTTCTGAAAAATAGTCTGCAAAATGGGTTTCAGTCTCTTTATTCCTTCACTACATTTTCTTTACCAACAGGAAACATGTAGCAGTATCAATGATAATCTTATTGTGTTGCTCCTGCTGGTATCTAAACTTTGTGTGTGGTTGCAGTTGTCTATGGTTTTACAGTGGATTAGAACCACCAAGTTCAGTGGAATTGCTTCTGATGGACATGGTCAGAGATTAAAGTCAAACTCTTACACTGTACTAAATTTTATTTTGGGCAATAGTCTTGGTTATTTTTGGACTTCACTACCAAAATCAGTAGAAGGTTCAAGTTCTTCCTCAGCCTTCTCTTTCCCACAGTGTTCATGTTTCTTTTCTTTCTAACTCTGTCAGCTGGTTTGGCAGTTACTTTGCTTTTGTTTACCACATCAAACAGGTTGTCCACAGTCATCTGCTTTGTGTCAACCGATAAGTCTTCCAAAAAGAGAAAAATCCATGGTGCCGGTAAAACAAAAAAAGACAATATTGGCCAAATTCTGTTCTGTCTCACACTGCTCTATATCCAGAAAAGCTGTCTGAAGTCAATGGAGTTGCTCTGATTTACACCAGGCTAATTGAGAGCAGACTTTGGGTTTTGAGCTGGGAAAAGTTGACCGTAAATGCTAAGGGCAACCAAAAGGAAAACTTGCAGGCCTTTTTCATCCATTTGGCAATCTTCTTCCAAACTAAATGTATTGCTTTTTTGCTTGTGGTTCAAAACAAATAAAGACCCAAATCTGCTTTGTGTTAAAATAGTTTTCATGGAGAGTGAAACCCAGCCTAACGTGCCTGTTACTAAATAAATAAAGAAAGAAGTTGATAACGACTACTAACTAGGAAAGGCTGAAGGTTGGTTTAAGGGTATGTAGCTGCTGCAGTGTACATTAAAATGCCAGTCCTGACCACCAGTAGGTTTGCTTTGCTGAAAACTTCTTTCTGTTACTATGATGGCATAGAGCACCAAAAAGCCTGGGGGGAACTTCAGTCCTGTTAACATGACATTTTAAATGCTTCGCTGAGGGCACCTCCTAAGGTTTTCTGCCCTGGTCCAAATTGAGTGCTCTCAATCTGTGGTCTAGCATACTGTTTCTTAAGTGGTAGACTTTTAAAAAAATTCTTCCATGTTGGGTTTTTTTTTCATTTTAAAGTAAAGCTAGCTTTTTCCAACCACACAATGGATAGAGTCGGGGGAAAATGTAAGGAGTGGCCTGGAACTTGCACTAGATTGATGTTGTTATTGTATGCAGTGATTTCTGGCTATATAATCGTTAAAAACCAAATTGCTGTCTGTCTGTCTTTCAGTCTTGTCGTGTCTGGCTTCGAGGGAGTAGAAGTCAGGTAGTTCAGAAATTCTCAGTGCATTCTTGAGCACTGGACAGGTGCTCCGCAGGAGCCCTATACTATACGTACAAACCAGAAACAGGTACTTCTCCTAGTTTTTCAGATCAACATGTTTCACATTTTGCTGTGCATTTCCCTTTCTTCAGTACTGCACAGCGACCGCCCCGTCTCGCTCCCTGGGTGTCCCATCAGAGCTGCGTCAGCCAGACTTAGCAAACACGCTCAAGGGAGCTTCTCTGCGATTTATGGTGACACCTCTTACCAGCGTTTGAGTGAACGGCTCTGTCAAAGCGTTGTGAAATTAGTTACAAAGGCTGAGGTTTATAAAGTTATGAATGGCTGGGATTAGGTATTTGCCTCACTTCGCTAGACTCTCTGCTTTCTTCTTCTTCTTCATAGCTTTGATTTGTTTTATATCATCAAAAACGGCCAAAGAATTACTAAGATTGATCATATAACACTATACATGTTCATCTAGAGATAACCAGGCATAGTTAGGACTTTCTTGTCAGTATTCCCGTGTTTGAAACATTACAGGCAGAAGAGCTGACTGCATCTTAAAAACCCATCAGAGCAGAGGCTGCATCCTGAATCGGTGACCGAAGCCGTCTTTTTTTAGACTGTGGAGCTAAAAACGTACAAGTAAGACCAACTGTTCAGGTTCACCTGAGGCTTCTAGATTTTTCAGTCTGAAGAAA